TTACAATTCTCTTATGGTAGCAAAGCATTCTAAGTTTATTATGTTTTGTAGATAATGATGTGAGTTTGATGGATGTTGAAACCTCATCCTTTATGCCCTCAAGTCAAACCATGGTCTCGAAAAGGATTTTACGTCCAAGGATTCTTAAGCCTTTACCTGCTGAAGAAGCAGGTAATGTTTAATATAAACCTTCACAGTCAGCTTGCAGTGAAGGTTGTGAAGGTAGTGTTTTTTTTTTTTTTTAATGAAATGCAAGTTGTATAACTTTATTCTCTTTTCTTCTAAACAACCTTCTGAAGTACAAAAAAGGAAGTCCACACATACTACAAAGAATGAAAAGAATTTGAAGTTGGCTAGGGTTGCAAATGAAGTTGAAGATGAGGTAGTTCAGGTTTTGAGAACAAGGAGTTTTCCTCTTCAATTATGTTTGGCAATTCAAAACTTTCAAAAAGAGCAGAGAAAGTCTGTTACAGCCATGGGGCTTAAGTCAATCCTACACCTAAGCATAGAATATATTCCATCAAGATTGGGCTTTTTCGTTGTGGACAATTTTGATGATGAAACGATGGTCATAAAGCTTCCAGTTGGGGAGCTGGAAATTACAAAAGACAGTGTGCAGAAAATGCTTGGTTTTCCAACTGGTCCTATTCGTATCACCCAAAAAAGAACAAATAGCAATGATAAAGTGGTTAGATGTTGGAGAAACCAATTTCCTCAAACCAAAAAAGAAATTCATCCATCTCTAGTTGCAGAACATATGAAGCAACAAATAGATGGAGGAGATATGTTCAAGTTGAACTTTTTCGTTCTCGTTGCTACCTGTTTGTGTGAGTCTATGAAGGCAGGGACAGCTAATCAAAGGCTTTTGCACTGCATTGCACACAAAGAAGATATAGATAACTTAGATTGGTGTGAGTTTGTCATCGATTGCTTGAAGAGAAGCAAAAAGAATTGGAATAGGGCTGATCCAACATCGTATTATTGTGGGCCAATGATGTTCTTAACGGTATGATTTATTTTTATTTACATTGTATCTATTTTTATATTAACTTGATAATGTTTTTTTATTTCTAGTTACTCTATGTGGATGGATTGTTATGCAAAGATTTGCATGTTCAAAGAAGTTCTCCGGCTATCAAGGTTTGGACTACAGAACTTCTAAAAGAAAGAGAGTCTTCGGAAATGAAGTCAGGAAGTTTTGGCTATGGTATCCTTCAAGAACCATTTGAAGAAGAGGAAAACCAAAATGAAGAAAACGAATATGAGTATAAAGAGGAAGATGAAGACAAAGAAGAAGACGAAGACGAAGAAGAAGACGTAGAAGACCCAAGAAAAGAGGTATATATTTCAATATTTTGCCAATATAAAATTACTGCCATTTCGTTAAATTAATGAATATTCCTATGAAGCTTTCTTCCATTTCGTTGGTGTATAATTCTCAGGTTATAATGGCTGGTGTGAGGAAATGCATGCGAAAAATCAACAACACATTCAGTCAAATGTATGAATTGATGGAAGAAGGTTTGACAAGTTTTCCTGAAGATGATGATATGAAGGCTCTAAATTATGAGTTAGAACTGATGTTGGTTAAGCTTTATCCAACAAAAAAGAATAATGTACACGCACATACCAACTCCCCTTCAGTTGAATCAGTAGAAAAAGAAGGAGAAGAAGTACCTGTTGCTGAATTTCAACAAGGTTGTGAAGCTCAAGTTCATCCTRTAGTTCAACTAGATTGCGAAGCTCGTCTACATSATGAAGCTCATTCAGATTGTGATGCTCAACCAGTTTTTGAAGATGGGAACAATGAAGCTAAAGAACAATCACTATTGGATATCAACATACAGTCATCCAAGGAGATGAAAGAAGGGGCTGAAGATGTTTTTGGAAATATCCTTGAATCTCCTGAGGTTCTTGAACATTTAGAAAAAATTATTCAAGATTACCTTAGAGAAAAGCAATTACATGAAGATACTTATGATTTACCCTCTTTTGATTTAAAAATTACCCAGGAGCTTTATGTAACCTCATATTTGGTGGAAGCTATAAAGATAATATCCCAAGAAGACAAGGAGATACAAGCAAGAGAAAAAAAGTAATTTGTGGATGAAGGGGTTGCAAAGGGCAGAGGAAAAGAAGGTAAAAGAGAGTCAAAGCTAGCTGAAGTGTTAGTTTCTCCATATAAAGTTCGAATTRTGGAACTGAAGAAAGATTTAACAAAACATGAGAAATTGGTTGCGAATAATCTGTTCTCAACAAGGAAGTCCCCAATGTAAGTTGTATACCTTTTTTTAAATTTGATAATACATAACCTTCACAGAATACTTACTGAGAAGCTTATATTTCATTCCTTTATTTTCTCATTATTCGTAATAAAATTATGCATATTTTTGCATACAGGGACATTGTATTCCAGTCATCAGATGAYTTTATTGTTTTGAGGGATGAGCTTGAAACATTAAAGCCGGGTTTCGAAATAAATGCCAATGTTTTAAACTGTTGGGCTTACATCTTCAACGACGAAGAGAAGTTTAAAAATGCAAGATCATCATCCCGAATATTCTTGGATGTTAGTGTTATGGTAAGTGCAAGTAATTATGTATTTGAATTTATATTAATCTTGAATGACGAAGAGAAGCTTAATTAATGTACATATCTTATCAAGTTCTAAATATTTGGGCATTAATTAAGGGTAGATTTTGGGACTGACGTAGTTTATGCTTATCTTTTTCTCATTTTTGACTTTGCTAATTATGTCATTATTATTATGACAGTCTCCTGCAATGGAAGACACTAAAGTTTCAATTCGCGAAAGACAAGAAGAATTTCATGCCAATATTCTGGCTGCGTGCCGACGAAATGAAACCATAGCATCCTTGAAAGTTGATTTGGTAAAGAATCTTAACTTGTTCTACATATATACATGAAGGTAGATATTATATTTACATGTTCTTTTCAAATTGTGTGTTACTATCTTGACCTGCCAAACATCCTTCACAACATGCTTGTTGTGAAGGTTCAACGAAGGCAGAGAAAACAAATGGGTAAACGGATTTTTTTATACAATCTGTAGATATTTGTTGTCTTTTTATTTCTTTTGGTTGCAGTTACAAAGGGTTATGTGTCTTGAAAATGAACCTTTACAATATGTTTGTTGTGAAGGTTCAGTTATTCAAAGTCAATTATAAGCTTTTTTGTGTAGTTTGTTATGACATTTTTATGGACTTTCTATGTATTGGAATTTAATAAAACAGGTGTTTTTTATAATGTTGAGAGGGCGACATTTCTACTTGGTGGTGTTCAATCTTAAGAAGCCATCATTTCTCATTATAGACAATATCAATCATACGCAAAGTATTGAAGAAGTTTATGGTATTGTTCCTGAAACATTGGTAAGCTTTTAGTTATGTTAAAATTTGATAATAAATATTTTATTTTGTTTTATAATGAGTTAAAAGTATGATTGATGATATATTTTTTTATTTAATTTTAATTCTACAGCATTCATTATTTTGCAACTACTTAAGAGAAGTTCATCATCCAAAAGCCTATGAGATGTTACAGCTTCAGCCAGAAATAGTTGATATGGATTGGAGAACAAAGAAAAATTTTGTTGATTGTGGGGTCTTTGCTATGCGTCATATGGAGACTTTTTTTGGGTCAAAGTCAAAAGATTGGAAATGCGGTCTTGTAAAAGAGGGTACCAAGAACAAAGCCCAATTCAACTTCATAAGGTAATATGATGTAAAGTAAAGTTCATTGGACAAATCATGTAAAGTAACAAACATATCAATTTATCATTCCTTCTTTTTTGGGCAATTCCTCGAGTCGTGATTAGCCCACTGCTGACAATTTCTACAAATTCTTTTGCCTCTTGAACTTTTGTTAATCGACTCTTCTCGCGCACCAACATATCTCTTGCTAGTCCCACATCCCTTGTTTCTTGCATTCTTRGGAACTTTAATTGTTATTTCAGCAGGTTGTGTTATTCCAATAAAGCTGTCAATTGTATCCTTTTTGCTCCTTGAAGATTCGCTAATGCTATTAGATTCTAATTCATTCTCAAACAACTTGATACACTCAAGAAACTGACCAAGTTTTTCAATGTCATTTCCCAAACAACTTGTAACGCGTCCAACTGATGAGTATATGTCCGAAAGTGTATTGTTTGTATCTGAAGTTCCATTCAACATTGCTTTTGTTGATGGTAACTTTACAGCATCTTTTCTCCAACGTTGAAGTATGTAGCGTTTTGGAATTTTCTTGATCTCATGATGCCTTAACACATAAAAAGCATGACGACATAATATTCCATAAAGCTCAAAATGAAGACATGTGCAAGTTATGATRTGATCTTTCTCATCAAAAAGAACCTGTAATAAGAAAGAAAGAAACAAAATGAAGATTTAATATTTCATACATTAACAACATGGATGTTGTGAAGGACCTTGCGTATCAACTCATAATTGAAGTTAGATTCATATGTTTTATCTTCATTTACCATCTAATAACATTGAATTGTATGAAGCACTAGATCAAGATAACTTAAGAAGTAATAAGTATCATTCACTGGCATTAAGTTTATAATTAATTTAGAATTCATTAAAAAAACATACCTTAAATTCTCCTTTTCTTTCTTTATCCCTGTCTTGAATTATATCTTTACTCAATGCTGAACATGTCCACAACGATGCAATAATCTCCTGTTGAACAACATAAAATATTTCACGTGTGTAAACTTTTGCTGCATGCCTCTCGATTAGAAGAGGGGTCTCCATCATCGGTGTTGTCGTCCTCGTCTCATGATCAAGTAACCTTTGTGTATACCTTTGTTTATCTATCGCAGTCTCAAAGCGACTGAAAAAGTGCACGAGTGTTGATTTCCAATTTGAATTTTGGCCGAAGAAGTAGTTTTCACTTTCTGATCTTGAAGTTGTCTTCATGAGTCCAGACATTTGGATATCTCTATAATATGCTGGGATCCATCTATCCCGAATGTCAAACATAT